AAAAAAAAAAAAAAAAAAATTTCTTTCTTGTTGTAATAAATATTATTTAGAGTAAAAGCGGGTATAATGGAACAGCATGTAAAATTGAATAACTTTTGTATTTTTTTTGTTTATGAATTATCTTTTGTATAATTAGTAGATTATTTCATTCAATTATATGGTATAAAACTTCTTGGTTCTTATTTTAAAAATTTAATTATGAATTAAAAAGAGTCACTGTAAAATAAATATTTTAAATTTTATTTACTATCTGTCATCCTAGTTATAGAAATAAAAAAAATTTTATGCTAAACTTAATATGTAGTTTTGTAATAAAAAATTCTGCTGAAGATATTTTCAATATTGAATTTTCTTGTTCCAGAAAAAAATTATGAAGAAAAGACTAAAGAGATTACCTATGTAATGGAACACACTATTTATTTTACATAATTATTTCACACTTATTTCTTGGAAAACGTGGTTCTAAGCATCCTCTTAAAGTAACTGGAAATAATCAAAAAAAAAAACTACACAGTAAGCAACAGAGTAAATGCTGCAGGAGTTGCACTTTAAGCATTTATAATTTTTAAAACCATACACCTTCTAGTAAATTGGGGTTCAAAAGGCTCCTAAAATGTAAAATATACTTCTTTAAACTTCACTGTGAGGTTAAATAGAAGACAAACAATTCATGCAATGGCTGACAAAAATATTCATTCCAGCTTCCAAAATAAATTCCGGGTACCCATGTGTTAGTATTTGATGGCCACAGCACACATATTAGATACCAGGTTGTTCTACTTTGTATTAAAAATAATATCAAGCTTTTATACCTACCCACTCATTTGTCGCACATTATTCAGCCTTTAGATATTGGTGTGTATTGCCATTTTAAAAGGCTTGGTGCAAATATAAGACGAATATCACAGCAACTCACTATGCAGTAATTCATCAAAAATGCTCTGGTAAATGTTTCACACATCTTCAAATTATTGCAGGACTTCAAATTATTTTGATTTCAAAATAATGAGCTTATTTCCGCTAGACATAGACAAAATTGACAAGTTTGAATTTCAAACTGCAGAGTATTTTAACCATCAAAGTTTGTTTAATCTGTTTACAGTTGTTCACCCTTCTGTTCTATATGTTCACAAGTTTCATCAGTTTTAACTTGTCTATACCAATCTAACTTGCCTATTTTAATCTACCAAAACATTAATAGCAACTTATCCACACAAGCCAGTCAATCACTTTCTCAATCAATCAGATCTCAATCAATCAGTTTTAATTAGTAATTGTGATAAACCTGAAAGCAAAAGTTTATCTACTTCAAACTGCTGTTCAAGAAAAAAAAAATTGTTTTCTTAAAGAAAAAAAAGATGAGAATTTTTCATTTGTCCAGTCTTAATAATCAGCCATTGGAGGTTCAATCCATGCAACAAACATTGAAGAAAAAACAAGCAACAAATGAAAATAATCAACGGTTTACATGCAAAAATTCGAAATGTTAGAGTGCGCTTTGTATACTCTTTTATTTACATTTAATCTATTCTATTGCTCTATTTCTATTGTTTTACTAATTTCTATTGTATGGCTAATTAAAAAATTGTATGGCTTAAACTTAAAAAGTCATTGTATAATTTTTTTGTAAAAAAGTATATCAAAATCTTTTTCTGAAAAAAAATTATTTAATTTATTCAACATTTACTCTAACATGCATTTACTCTATAGATAAATAACGCCACCTCCAATTCCCACCCCCAATTCAGTCATTTTTATTATGACATCCAGTGTTCCCACTGCCTGGATTTAAATGTAGGAGAGTGTTAAAATATTCTTATATAAATTAACTTCAGCGCATTAATTTAAATAAGAAATTTTTGAAAGTTAAAATGTTGCGCCTCCCAACCCCTGATCCTGTTCCAATCAACCAAATAAGTAACTGTGCAAAATGCCTTTAAGTTGGAACATAATACGCATAATGATTAATTCTGTTCAAAATCGACATACTCATGTCTATATCAACCATGTTCTTATTTACTACACCAAAAAGCTATAAGACAAAAGCATTTTCATGTACAACAATAACGCCTATAGAATCAAAACATAATGTGAACCAATGAACCTTAAACATTACTGTTTCATAAGGCAGGATTTAGTAGTAGTTGGGTACTTTTTACAGTCTCCGACAACAATCTGTAAAACAAATTGTTTCTCAGTTTCATCTTTGGTGAGAATGTTATTATAATCCTGAATAAGGTTCAATCCTCTTTACGCAACATCATTCACAACCACTATTTTCTTAAGTTTTTTAATTCCATTTTTGTAACCAGGATCATCCTTCCATACTGAAGGGTCTTTGTTCAGAAAATCAGTGCTGAGAGAAAATCTGTTGAAGAATGTTTTTGTACCAGGAGTTAACAGAGATGGAAACTCGATGTTTGGAAAGGAAGAAAAGTCTTTTTCGGGAAGAATGTACCTCTTGACTTTGACTCTTGATTTTTTTCTTCCTCCACTTCTT